TTACGCAAATTATAATTTTACGGGTTTGATTTTTATTACACGATGTTATCCTTCACCGTGGAAGTCAATCGTGAACATTTGCTAAGTACGTGTTTCATTAGAAAAATTGGTACCCGCCTGCGGGGTTCGAACACCGGTGCATCGCTAGATACGAATGCACCGGACGGCTTATCCTTTAGACTACGACGACTGGATCTTGAACTGGTGGCTTGTTCGCGGGAGAATAGGCGGCAGGATCTTCCGATATTTGCTATAAGGAACCGGTATTGTAAATATTAACTTGGTATCAAGAGATAGCAAGCCATTTTATGAGCTCACTCCAAATTTGATTATCGGTTTATATGCTGCGTATTTCAGCTATTGAATAATACCACGGGGTCTTTCAACTGAAGCTGTTGTAGGTTATTTTACGTCTTCACAGACGGTGTGCAGTTAATTAGAGATATTGCGTTATACAGATCTGTCAAAATTAAAACTAATTTCGCGGCCATTTTGATTGATCCATCTATTATCATCTACATATTGCCTTTCATCACTCGATATAAACACTATGCAATGCGATGCTATGCGAAGCTGCGCAAGTATCAATAATCGGACACCGCGCGACTAATTCTCGATATAGCCTCTCAAGGCTATCAGCATAAGTAGGAAAAAAAATGAGCTTCTGTATCCATCAACTCCAATACAACGAGGTTACCCTTTGTTTGGAGGTTACCCGCACCATGGTCGAACTAAAGTTCACCCAACTTTAGTTCGACCATGGTGCGGAATACTCCATCCAGTCGCTCGTGAGCAGTTTTCATATGAAACGTGACCTAAAAACGTAATAACTCAAGAATGCAAGAATATGTACATTAACTTTATTATGTTATTATTCAAATTGCTCGTTCGACTATTTCTTGACTTTGAAAACGTGTCGAGGGCGACAATTTGTTTGTTTTGGTGACGTCACACCTGACAGATGACGTCAGCGATACCTCGATCTCTTCGTCTCTCTATTAAATAGGGTATATGACAAAAAATTGCCGTCGTGGCCTAAAGGATAAGACAGTGCAGTCGTATGTAGCGATGCACTGGTGTTCGAATTCCGCCGGCAGGTACCAATTTTTCTAATGAAATATATTACGTACATAACAAATGTTCATGATTGACTTCCACAGTGAAGGAATAATATCGTGTAATAAAAATCCAAATCGCAAAATTATAATTTGGGGAAATACTGACGTCATGTGAGTCCGCACGGGTAGGTACCACCACCCTGCCTATTTCTGTCGTGAAGCAGTAATGCGTTTCGGTTTGGGTTAAAATTAAGCAGCCGTTGTACTGTAAAACATTGTATGGTGCATTGGTGGGCCGTGAGCGGGTTCGCACATTTAATTTGGAATCAATGAAGAAGAACTAAAAAAAAATAACTGAAAAAAATTCATTGACAAAGAGACTACAAAAAGGCAGAAAAGGATTTTAGTTTAATAAAAATATTATGGGCTCGGTGTAGTGATAGGGCAAAGTAGCCATTTTAGGGAGAGACTTATGTTCAACAGTGGTCTATGGGCTGATGGTGGTAAAACCTCGTCGGCAGTTACCAAGCAAAGAAAAGACGATCGATTCTCAAGCAGAACAGAAAAAAATTGTACTTAACTTTGTTGGCTTTTTCTATTTATATATATATTTCAGTGATTGAAGTTGTTGATTGAGAGAAATCATCACGTAACGAAAAAGCATTATCGTTGAGATGATAAATGTGTACTTTAATTTCAAGGGCTTAAAGACTAAACTTCGATGCACTAAACCTACTATGAACTTGATTTACAAATATCAATCTTAAAACAGTCATATTAAAGTGTGTAAACAGTCACAAAAATAAATGATAATTAATGATTCAAGACACAGAGAGGCCGATGAAGCGCATGAGTCAGAGAGAGACGGCGATACTTAAAGGTAAGTGACGCATACTTGTGAGTGCGCGAAATAAAAAATAAAAAAACAGGTTTAAACAATGAAATTTTTTAAGATCTCTCACAATATTATTAACTATTGTATGAAGAATTAAGAAAAAAATATTATTTATATATATATATTTTTAAATAATTAAAAAAATAATTCATGGGTCGAAAGTTACCCAAATTTGATATTTTTCGAACCTGAAAAAATTCATTTCTTTAAAAATATTAACTTTATCGTAAAAAGTCAAAGGGCCTTTTTTATTTGCATTTCAATAAAGAATATAAAAAAAAAATGTCCGGTTGAAAAATAACAATTCCTTGTAATTGTTTAAACAATTTCGGTTTAAACAATATGGCCCGGGGGGTTGCCCCATGACAACATGCATTTATATTATCAGTAGGGCAATTTGAAGAGGATCACATAAAAAAATTGAGGTGGAATAGTTTTCGGTACTCATGCGCCGATTCCTCCTGGACTAATTTGTAAGCTCGTCCACACATCTAATCAATAAAATAAAATAAAAAAAACTTAGTTTATTATACCTCCATATGGCCAGGCCAATAATAAGAAGAAAACAAAAACAATTTATTTTCGTTAAAACATCAACAATAAATTCATTTATCTACTGAATGAAAACTTTTTGGTTGGTAAATCCATGGTAAATCCATTAAAGTAATTTCAATTTCAGTAATGACGTGTTTCGGTTGACAAAATCGATTATTGTTAAAAATGGCAGACCTATCCTTTATTGTTCTGCTATAATTATTACTTTCTTATCAGCTCTTAAGATCTACATGATATTTTAACTTTAACTTGTGATATAATCGTTGTTTGTGAAGTAGAAATTCTATGACATCATGTCGCTTATCAATTGGCCAATTTACATTGAACTATGTTCGGGCAGCTTATGTCAAGTAATCGTTTATATTCAATACATTTTTTATTTTATATATAGCGCAATAGAGTATAAATTTCTTTGACAAAAAATTAGTATATTCCCATTTACTTTCATAGAAATGTAGGCCGTATTAGTGTGGATTTGAAGCTAATTTTACCTGTCGGCTTTGTGTTAGTTACGTCTGTTTCGGTTGTATCGTTTGACGGGATATGTCAGGGTTCTAAACCTTTGGTTGTGTGAATGCATTTCTATTTTTAGTTCGATGATGTCAGGTGGTTTTTGTATGCTTTTGGATTGACTTAAATTCCAAACATTAGACCTATTTTTCATCTTCTTAGCTGGAGTTTGGTGTGAGTGGGTGACCACGGCCATCGCAAACCATGCGAAACGAAATAATCAGAACGTGATCAGAAAAATAAATATAACTAATAAATAAAAAAACAGGCGTCTGTAGCAAGCCGCACTGAATATTATTATTTTTTTATCCTGCTATTACATTGGACCAGAGTACTGAAATTAGTGTTTTGTGTTTGGTCCTTAATTTATATAAACTTGATTAGATTTCTTAATGTCGGGGAAATAAAATTGAAAGACTATTACATAAAGATGAATACAAGCTTTGATTTTAGTAATTGAGTCGACTATTATCAAAGGCGGCAATCTGACTTTTGGACAATGATTGGTAAATCAGAAAAACGAATTATTGACTTTGTATTCCATCGGCAGTCACAAAACTCTTCGGAACGACATCTTAGATAAATAACAGGTTAACTATTAACCTTTATTTAATGCAGGTTTTGAACCGTATTCTTTGAAGGACACGATTATATTCAAATAAATCTGTATTGACATATCAATAAAATTTTGTTGTCCAAATGCACAGATTGCCGCCTTTGATAATAGACGACTCAATTGCAAGACTGTTGTACACTTCGTTCCAGAGACATAGCTCTGGCTTTAAATCTGTAATTATATTCCCCACGAAAAAAATTGTTTACTATGCTGTAGCATGGACGTCTGCTTACCTACTCAGACATTCGTAGCCGCTGTAGTTCTAATTTGACGCTAATTCGTTTTTCTGAGTTCTATGAGACCTATTTAATTTTTATTTTCTGTTATGATACAGACAGCAACTGCTGTTTTTCTTTCTAGATAGTTCTGGTTATTTAGTAATTTCTAATAAGAGCACTATTATGTAGAAGAGTAAAGTTGAGAAGAGTAGGGAGGAGAATCGATGAGTGATGTAGCCATCTTGTTTGGGGTTAATCATATAAACTACTTGCTGAGTCCCGCGATGCTACCTGCGGTTATTGTCGTACCGCGGTTGATCCCGCATGGCAAAGCTATTCTAAAAAAAGTAGCTTAAGTTACTGTTTATATCATCAGCTACCTATCAGTGAAAGTCTCGGCAAAATCGGTCCAGCCATTCCAGAGATTAGCCGGAACAAGCAGACAGACAGACAGACAAAAATTGTAAAAAATATTATTTTGTTGTATGTACCGTATATATATTCATATGCATGTACGCGTATGCGGCTATTTCAATATTACAAACAGACACACCAATTTTATTCATATGTATAGATTTACGTTTTACGTATTTTACATGTCGAACTTGCTCACCTCGACTGGTACGATCATGACACAATTCACGCTTCATGACACCGTGCCTATCTTATCTAGAGTTACGTTACTTTTGTTTTTCTCATATATTATATTCGATTTGATTAGATAATTCCGTAAATAAGAACTTGAAGGAAATGTTTATGTGTTAATAGGTCTGTTTTTTTTTTAAATTATGATCCAAGAAACGAAAATGAAACTATCAGATATAAATAAAAATCTTTATTATATACATTAAATTATTGATTATCATCGCTAACAAAACTTCGGTTACTGAAGCCGTCACAATTAAACGTTTGGCGTTCATGGCAACATCCAAACTTTATACACTCTGTGCAACAAAAATAAAATGGCACAGGTGTCCGCGTTGAATCAGCGTTGGTAGGTATCNCAAGAAACGAAAATGAAACTATCAGATATAAATAAAAATCTTTATTATATACATTAAATTATTGATTATCATCGCTAACAAAACTTCGGTTACTGAAGCCGTCACAATTAAACGTTTGGCGTTCATGGCAACATCCAAACTTTATACACTCTGTGCAACAAAAATAAAATGGCACAGGTGTCCGCGTTGAATCAGCGTTGGTAGGTATCGAATTTTGATCCGCCATTTTGTTTCTGTTGCACATATTATGTAAATAAAAAGTGTCTATTTTAGATCAGCCTTTACAAATTTCAGATCTAGCTCTCAACGAGGCCTGGTGGAATATCAAGGAATGTATTGAACAGATTGTGTTCGTTCAAATAATTTGTCATAACCGGGAGTTTAGTCGTGCTGTCTGTTAAAAGTTAGAAAGCATGTCTCATCCTGACACTGTATAGGAATCATTACGGTTACTCAAACAAAATGTAACTCTGTATAAATGGCATCCACTACGTTGTAGAGCGAGAGATTAGCCCGCTGCGGATTTAATGCTCTTCAATCTCCTGCTCCTGCTCTTCGTCAAACTCTGCGTCCTCGTCGGCGGTGGCCTCCTGGTACTGTTGGTACTCGGAGACAAGGTCGTTCATGTTGCTCTCAGCCTCGGTGAACTCCATCTCGTCCATGCCCTCGCCGGTGTACCAATGCAAGAAAGCCTTGCGCCTGAACATAGCGGTGAACTGTTCCGAGATGCGCTTGAACAGCTCCTGGATGGCGGTGGAGTTTCCGATGAAGGTGGCGGCCATCTTGAGACCACGAGGAGGAATGTCGCACACGGCGGTCTTCACGTTGTTGGGGATCCATTCCACGAAGTATGAGGAGTTCTTGTTCTGGATGTTAAGCATTTGCTCGTCGACCTCCTTCATGGACATGCGGCCGCGGAAGATGGCAGCGACGGTGAGGTAGCGGCCGTGGCGCGGGTCACAGGCGGCCATCATGTTCTTGGCGTCGAACATCTGTTGCGTGAGCTCGGGTACAGTCAAGGCACGGTACTGTCTGCTTCCACGGGATGTGAGGGGAGCGAAACCTGGCATGAAGAAGTGGAGACGCGGGAAGGGAACCATGTTTACGGCCAATTTTCTGAGATCAGCGTTCAACTGACCGGGGAACCTAAGGCAAGTGGTGACACCAGACATTGTGAGGGAAACTAAGTGGTTAAGGTCACCGTAGGTGGGTGTGGACAGTTTGAGAGTGCGGAAGCAGATGTCGTATAGAGCCTCGTTGTCGATGCAGTAGGTTTCGTCTGTGTTTTCAACTAGCTGGTGAACTGAGAGAGTCGCATTGTATGGTTCGACGACAGTGTCTGATACTTTGGGCGAGGGGACTACTGAGTATGTGTTCATGATTCTGTCGGGGTACTCTTCACGGATCTTTGAGATGAGGAGGGTGCCCATACCGGACCCGGTGCCGCCACCGAGGGAATGTGTAAGTTGGAAGCCCTGTAGGCAATCGCAAGATTCTGATTCTTTGCGGACTACATCGAGGACCGAGTCAACGAGCTCAGCACCCTCTGTGTAGTGTCCCTTGGCCCAGTTGTTGCCGGCGCCGGACTGTCCGAAGACGAAGTTGTCCGGACGGAAGATCTGTCCGAAAGGTCCGGAGCGGACAGAGTCCATGGTGCCGGGCTCCAAGTCGACGAGGATGGCGCGGGGCACGTACTTGCCGCCGGAGGCTTCATTGTAGTATACATTGATGCGCTCCAACTGCAAGTCAGAGTCCCCATGGTAGGCACCGGTGGGGTCGATGCCGTGCTCGTCGGAGATGATCTCCCAGAACTAGAACAAAAGAGAATTTCCGTTAGATTTAAACCGATCTCTAAAGCGTTATGTAGACTGCAGTCAATTAACATGCCAACACGAAAGCTCAGCGAGCTCTCGAATTACATTTAAGTGCACAGCTATCGCACTTTCGAACCGGTTCGTAGAATGCAATCTCACAGGGCACGCCAGTCCTTGTCAGTATCTGACTGACATTTCGATGTTCCATTCAAATCGATATTGGAACAACGGAGACGTGAAGGTAGACAGGATACAAAGTACACGATCAATAGTAGGCGCCGTAAGTTGGATTACGCAAGACAATGGTTCGACGATTGAGTGCAATATACTCGCCTCGGCGACGGGTGACGCCCACGGACCGTCCCATATTCGGTTTATCCATCCATATAAGCGGTGAACGTTTCGGTGTAGTTCGCGAACTCATTACCATTCGATTTTCGATGTTATTGAAATAATTATCGACATCAGGGCCACGGACCAGATGTTCACGATAGATGCATGACGAATCGTCAAAATCTTGAGTCAAGTTATAATAAATCAATTTGTTTATCGCGCTTACGTAAGCCGACGAAATGCTCAAGCTATCCTTGACAGCAACAAAAGGTCTTAAAGGCAAGTAGCGACTGTGCACATTAAAATTCTGTCGCCCGACCGACTATCGGCATGATGTCATCAGGCGAGCTGTACTGTGTGTGCGTGTGTGTGTCGCTATATGTACATATATGGTAATATGACTTAGTTGGACTCTTATTTAATCAACCTACCCAGTTTCGAGGAACCATCAATTAGCATAGCTTTTTGAATGGATCAATCTAGATATTTCCTTTTTAAGTTTTGAAATCCAATGTAATTTAAATGACTTATTTAAAATAAAAAAAAGGTTACTTATGTCTGATATTTAACTGTTAACAACACAAATGTTTTATAAAGTTCGAGCGTCCGAACAATTCATTTATCTTATCCTAATGTTTGGCAATAGGAATAACGCTTTAGATTAGCAAGTTCAACGAACTCAGGGCGGTCGATGCCCATCTATAAATAGGAGTCGGTCTCGCCATGGCGTCGCTTCAGACGCTCCAAGCACTCGTCCCATAAACCGTTAAGTGTCAGTGCATACGCGTGTTCCGGTGAAATTGCATTGCCCATATTTTCTCTCGCAAGAGGCTCATTGTGCCGTGCCCCGTTCACATGAAACTTTCATTTGCTTATCTAGTTACTAAGAAAGTTACCTTAACACAGTCAGATCGATCGCCTTTCACTTTTATTATTTAAAAAATCGACTCCGAGCATATCTTACAGTCTTTGAAAGTTGACACGTCTGACAAGTCCCGCAATCTCTGACAAACGTATTAATGAACTGTTCGCGTTGTTTAAGATCATTTTACTGTGGAGAAATCCGTTATGTACCGATTTGATTGCGATTTTTACCGTTTTCAACATAACCAATGCCTCGCGAGACGAATGAAAGATAATCGAGGTTACCTATAGAAATGTATGTGAAGCTTAACAAACAAATTTACATTAATTTCGCTATGAAAAAACCTATACTCTAATCGATTCTGTGCAGTGAATTTTTAAATGACTCATCTTTGATTTATTAAATTCGTATCGCGGTGCTCAGCAGAGTAGAAAACCTGTCTGAATCGAGTTCCTCCTCTATTGTTTCGGTCGGAGGCCTCACTATGAAATTGCCCGTAACTTTAGCTTCCTATACTTTTGTGTTGTAGTGAAAAAAATGCTTTTTTCATATGAAAAGTATTTGTAGAGGGGCTTTGTCTTAAGAAATGCAATCCACCAATCACTTCGCGAACGAATTAACATATATTTCTTGATTAGACAAAGAAGGCGATTTTTTTTATCAAGTTATTTATAGGCGATTGACACGGACGGCGTATACAGCATGAGTTCTCTTGCTGATAAATTCCATTTAATGATTCACGTACTGAGTAACGCATTATGCTGTTAAAAATAACTACTGTGCTCATTGCAAAATCACTTTCAATTAAAATCGGAAGCGAGCGTGGACACGATTTGACCTTTTGCCCCTCTTTTGGGCCGCGAGAAAATCACGCCTACACATGAGATTTCGTCTATAACAATGCAAGCGTTCAGCATCATATTCCTGACCTCTATTCTCCTTCGCATTGTTAGGCTTCGATAAAGCATCGTAGGAATTAATCGGAGATAGAAAACAAATCGAGGCATTGATAAACGATTGATGTAGGGAATTAGTGGTAATGTATGATTGAAATATTCAAATAGTTTAGTATTTGAGAGTTTTTTTATAATACTATCTATAAATCACATTTCGTCATGCTCTTTGTAAATAAAAAAGAGTTTTATCGAAATGTTTCGAACTTCTGAACGTTTTTTTTTTCATTTCACAGCTCATGTTTTGGCGCATTTTAGGAATTTTAAAAACTTTAATAGATTTTCGTAAACATTTAAGTGCTTACGTCAAATTGAAATTTAATATTATTATTTAACGTATTGTATTTAGCCGAATTACCTTCCTGTTGGGATTAATAATATTCAGTACTGCTACTGTTACTGATCGAAGCTCTCTTGCGTTTTTTTTTTTCAGAAGTTTCGAACCCTTAACTTGTTATATTCCTTTCAAGCTTGGTAAAATGAGTTAAAAACATCTATCTATTTCTTCTAGCCTAGTAACAAGTTAACTAGAAAGTTCTAAAAGATATCTCTTTGATATCAGAGGCAATAGACCGAAGTGAAATAATTACAGTATGTGTCTTCATGCATCGATGATGACGTGCCACCGTTGATGATAAGCCTAGATAACTGAGGCATTCTCCTGGGATACCAGACACACAAGGCTTGAAGACGAAATGTTTCTATATTTTAACTTTTATCATCTGGTAAATGCGATCTCGAACCTCAGACTGACCCAACCACGAAATCGATGCTTTATGATTCAGAACCTTTATTCGACATTATTATGAAGTTTAAATACCCAATAAGGGCAATAATATCATACCACAAAAATTGGGAGTTAACTTTATAAAGTTTATATTTTAAACATTATAATGTTTGCAATACTGGTGTCCAGATTTGTTGTGAACTTGTGAGCCTGGCTCTTAAGCTATATAAATGAATAAATTGATATTGCAACGAAAATTTGTGTGAGCCCTCTTATGGCAGACAAAAATCAACCATGTCATTTTATAATGATTCCCTTGATCCATATAACCTTGAGTGTCAAAAAAAAACATCTGTCAAAACAATTTCAACCTTTTAAACCGGTTCCGAGCTATTAAAGTTACATATAATATCCATTTTGAATTTTAGTCCTTGACAACAAAGTTGACCAATAAAAACAAGCCACACGACACGTAAGTGACATAAGCCTTTTGTGAAATGAGTCATTTTCGATTTCAATATGTGATCTCAGAGTTGTTTGTATTGAAATTTATTTCTTTATGGCTTTACAAATATGTTTAAGCAACGAAAGTAACTTCTAAGCGCGCATGTCTATCGATATATTTTTTTCTGTGAAAGTTTTGGCTGACACGGCAGCCATTAATTAAACAAATGTTATTGGGGTGCGGCAGCCCCGCGAACGCGGAACTGTCACGCGTGTCAAATCTTAGTTTTCTATTTCAGAACGAACGGGAGTATGCAACACGTAACATAGATTGTGGGCGACCTAGATTTTTTTGTTGTTGAGTGCCTACTAAATGAATTTCAAGTAGTTTGTGTGCACCACGCGATTTCCATTTAGGGAAACCGTTATGTTTTATCGGTATAACCGTTTGCTTGTTCGAAAACCGCAAGCATTACGGCGTCGGCCATACCTACCGTGTATTTTGCAAATCTCGAGCCGCGGGAAGCATTCTTCTGGCAAAGGGAAGAACGGTGGTGCCGACACGCGTACCTAATACAAAAATTAAAAGGAATTATCTCCTTACCTTAGCTCCAATCTGGTTACCACATTGGCCGGCCTGTAGATGAACGATTTCCCTCATTTTGTATAAGTTATTTTATTAAAATTGCAATAATATGACTACACTACGCGACTCTCGCACAACACTGCTCGGTTTGATCCGCCGGCCGGCGCGGTGGGGAATTTAGAGGTTCTCCTCGCCTCCGCGCACCGATCTAGCCTCGCTCTCTGATTGGTCGATTCACTCGGCGCGCAACTTCGACTCACGAAGACAGGCTTATCAACAGACCGAAATGGAGTCTATCTATATTTCTATACATGGATGTTGTCATCGGTACTTGTAACGTTGCCAAGTTGTTTTTGCGTTCCGAAACGCGATTCGATTATGAATTTTTAATGTTTTCAATAGTAAATNGCGCACCGATCTAGCCTCGCTCTCTGATTGGTCGATTCACTCGGCGCGCAACTTCGACTCACGAAGACAGGCTTATCAACAGACCGAAATGGAGTCTATCTATATTTCTATACATGGATGTTGTCATCGGTACTTGTAACGTTGCCAAGTTGTTTTTGCGTTCCGAAACGCGATTCGATTATGAATTTTTAATGTTTTCGATAGTAAATTTAAGTTGGTCGGTTGAAAGAGATGATTTTTTCTTTGTGAAGGATGAGTGAGTTTTATTAATGTTTCTGGTCTATTGGAATTGTGACGTTCGGTAGGAGATCGTCCCTGAGTACTTTTGTTAACAACGCTAGGTTATCTTAGGTTCAGTTTATAAATGATATTTTAATATAGATAAACATTAATTGTACCCATTTAGTCTTATTAATGACCATCCCTAATGGTTGATTTTCGATCAGGTAATGACTTACTAGATAAAATATTCGATATCAATTATGATTGTAGCTCTAACAGAGTTAATGATACTGTTAATAAATTACTCGACTTAATTAATTGAATAGGAAATTTTTTGACGTGTCCGTCTGCATCGATTGCTCTACTCGATCGGCTGAATGACCAAAAAGGGGGTTGAGAGGCACCGAAGACTGGATGGAGTCACTAGCACGTAATGGAACGCTCCTATAGCCCGCAATGGATTGTGTAGGTACATGTACTTTTGACTTTTGCGAGTCTACTATCTCGGATGCAGAGTGAGACGTGCTCTCATATTACATCTGAGAACGGAAGTCTGGTTTTTACTCGTCTCCTATAATCATAAATTGAACTCTCTCACTGTCGATTTGGGATCTAATGGAAGGCCGGGCTTTGACCTATTTGGTCCTAATCTAACTGAGTATTCAGAGGTTATAAGGGAGGTTTTGGGCAGTTCGTCGATCGAAAGCGCTTTCAGTACTGTAAACAAATACGTACCAACTACGATTTACTTTTTACAATTATATCATGTGTGTTACTATGGAACATGAAGTGTGATTCTGACGTGATTCCGCCCGGTTCTCTAACATTTTTTTATGATAAGGAGTTAATCTATTTCATAATTTTTAAAGTTTTTAGCGCAAACTTTAGTACTATTCGTGTTAACGCCTTAGACATGGCCTTGTTTTCAATAATGACTGCTATGACGTTCACACGAACTAGTTTTTGCTTAACAAAATGCTAATACGGGTACTGGATAAACTACATGCGACTTTTGATCGTAAATGTTGACAAAATACGGTGATTTTCGAGGATATTATTCCTAAATATAAATCGGAGTGGTTTAAGTACGAGTCTTTTATAAAACTTGATGAATATTTTTGTTAAGCATACTAATTGGTTATAAAACTGTTGCCATTAGCTATCTATGGAGACTCCACTCTATAGATGGCTGCATTTTTATTCTGATGTCGATAAACTACTTTATATCATGTGAGTTGTAACTGTGGTTGTAACTCTTCAATCCATCTAGTGAAAAAAAACACGTTTCACACCAATATGAATGACTGCTTCGCAGAAATAAATGAACGGTATAAGGTTGACTGCTCATAACAAGTACGGCCATAATAAGTAAGTAAGTTTTCGGGCCACGTATCAAACTTCATGCTAGGTTCCCGCGCTTAGGAGGCGCACGTATCCCATGTGAGACTCGGTGGCCGAAGATTTTGAACGTCCACCCACTACACAGCTTCCCTGATCTCATAATTTGCATCTATCCCACATCAATCAAATACATTTTTGTGAGTGCAGGCTGAGTAGGACCGGTTATTGAGGTAAACCTTGGGGGAGGCTTATGTCCAGCAGTTGCAGTGCGTGGGCCGAAAAAAGTTCTTTGTTGATGATATTATTCCTTCATCATGGAAATCATTCATAAACATTTGAGTACCACAAAAAAGATTACCTACGCGATTTGTCTCCCGCCTTCGATGAAATCATCAAATTTAAATAGTACTACACTTCTAAACATTAAGACGAAAAGTGGACTGCGCTTAGTCCATACCCTTTCCTGACTGGGTAGAGCAGATATTTTAGATCATATGATTTATTACTACGGCTACTGCGTATTGGTTTTTGTATTGAAAACTACTTTAATACCGTTGTGATTAGAAACTCGATGTAATGAAAAAGCGACACTAACAAAGATCAAACAGGATAGAATAGTTCTGATCGTTAAACTTTTATACATATGCGAATTGCACACAATATTTGATGTGTCGATTTCGACTTTTAAACAACTTTTCAGTCCGATTTTCGCTGTACTCTTCGTGTCCTATTCGAGGGGGTTCGAGGGAGCTATTGAGCTACCGATATAACTTAGAAATGCTAACAGAATTTTTTCGTAGCCAACTAATTTACAGATTAGATCTATCTACAGCCATCTAATTTACAGATTTACTGGTGGTAGGACCTCTTGTGAGTCCGCGCGGGTGTGTACCACCACCGTGCCTATTTCTGCCGTGGAGCAGTAATGCGTTTCGGTTTGAAGGGTGGGGCAGCCGTTGTAACTATACTTGAGATCTTAGAATTATATCTCAAAGTGGGTGGCGCGTTTGCGTTGTGGATGTCTATGGGCTCCAGTATAAGCAAAAAAAAAAAGAAAGATTACTGATAGTAGGGGGACTTGTAAGCTACCATTGTCATACTTGTTCAAATATATTTTCATATACGTCTAACGTAATAGAAAATTCGAGCTCACGTCCCAACGTAAGTAACGAATATAACCATGGACTGTGATCTAAAACAAAAACTATATTTTCATAACATTAAGATTTTAGAAGAAGACTTAGTCACATTTTGTATTATTTAAATTTGCTCAATAAATTTAAAAAAATGGTTCCGTTTTACATAACGTTACCCCGTGGGTGGTCACGCGAACTGTTATAGAACATTCTAAATGTGGGTAGTTTTTGTTATGCCGATTGTTGTTAACCCACTGTAGCTTAGATACGGAAGTGAAATGGTTTTTTTTGGGCACCAGGACTGACATATCATTCGATTGTAATTAAAATAAGCATTATGACGTAATAACAATTAATTATAACCATTCGTGGGCTCAATGTCTTTTGATTTTCTCTAATTTTGAAACAATTCGATTTTTCCACCGCCTGTTGCATTGCGCAAAATCTCTGGACTCTAAAATCAAAATGGTTTGATTTAAATAAGCCAGATAAGACTCGATATTTTGAGTAATACTTGTGAGTTGGCACGGGTAGGTACTAGCACCCTGCTTATTTCTGCTATGAAGCAGTAATGCTTCTCGGTTGGAATGGTGGGGCAGCCGTTGTATTGTAAAAACTAAGACCTTAGAACTCATATCCGAAGGTAGGTGGCGACATTTATATTGTAGATGTCAATGGACTCCGGTAACCATTTAACAGAGCAATAAAAAAATATAGTTTCTAAATATATGTAAATTACACAAAGCATTATAAAATCCATAGTATGTATGGATTTACCTATGACAAGGTTGAGTTGTTAGGTCTCCTTCGGAGGCGCTCGGGCAGCTGTTAGCAAATCCCAACCCTCCTGGCTGAGCCTTTGCTCGCCCACCTGTCCTGGTGAAACTGGAAAGGCCTCCGGGCCATCAGTAATCCTTCTACAAAAAAAAAAAACGACTTGAAAATGAAGAAACAGTAATTACAGAGTCGCAGACATTCATTAGCCGTGGCGTCCGGCGGTGACCAATATTTCATAGTTAGCTCGCAAATAATGCTGAACAAGACAATGTGAATTAGATCTTATGTGTCAAGGATAACGGCATCCAGGTCGCTCGTGCCTATCAACCAAATGAGGCTTGAGTTTGTCCACGCATCCAATGCATTAAGATATTTTATAGTATTGATTTCGATTCCACTGTTCCCGATGTTCTGAAATGCTTTTTATTATTTCATGTAGACAGTCCGTAGACAACAGCACTACCACCCACCCCAAAGACTCAACGTCGAAGTATCAATGGTTTTGTACAACGCCAGACCCAGTCAAGCCCGCGATATAAGATCGCTTCGCAGCAGAAATAACCTTAATGGTTGTACCGTCCAGTCAGTCTCAATATACACTGTCGCACCAGCAGTAGCCATGTGCAATTCTATTAAAGCCCACATTTGAAATGCACTTAAACGTACCGTGAGTTTCTTCTGTTTACTGGTGGTAGGACCTCTTGTTACAGGTGGTAGGACCTCTTGTTTTACTGGTGGTAGAACCAAGATATACTGTCTACTGACGAAGCACTCTGCGATCTACCAATGACATTTCTTGAAATTTAATGAAACAATGTATTTCAACAAGTAGTATACAAATAAGTAGGTAGTATATTTTCATTTATTAAATTTATTAAAATAAACCTAAAATAAAAGAGAACTGTTGACTATTTTATTACCGGTGGTAGGATCTCTTGTGAGTCCGCACGGGTAGGTACCACGACTCTGCCTATTTCTGCCGTGAAGCAGTAATGCGTTTCGGTTTGAAGGGTGGGGCAGCCGTTGTACTGTAAAAACTGAGACCTTAGAACTTATATCTCAAGGTGGTTGACGCATTTACGTTGTAGATGTTTATGGGCTTCAAAAACCACTTAACACTAGGTGGGCTGTGAGCTCGTTCACCCATCTAAGCAATAAAAAAAAAAAAGATTGCAAACGAGGAAGATCATCTTCATCATCATCATCAGCCCACAGCTGTCCACTGCCTGACATAGGCCTCTCCCAATCCACACCACCGAGCCCTGACTTTGGTCCTCCTCAA